TTCCATCACCCCGCCCCATTCTCCCGCTTTCCATCACCCCGCCCCATTCTCCCATCACCCCGCCCCATTCTCCCGCTTTCCATCACCACGCCCCATTCTCCCGCTTTCCATCACCCCGCCCCATTCTCCCGCTTTCCATCACTCCGCCCCATTCTCCCGCTTTCCATCACCCCGCCCCATTCTCCTGCTTTCCATCACCCCGCCCCATTCTTCTCCTTCCATCACTCCGCCTCATTCTACCTCCTTCCATCACCCCGCCCCATTCTCCCGCTTTCCATCACCTCGCCCCATTCTCCTGCTTTCCATCACCCCGCCCCATTCTCCCGCTTTCCATCACCACGCCCCATTCTCCCGCTTTCCATCACCCCGCCCCATTCTCCCTCCTTCCATCACCCTGCCCCATTCTACCGCTTTCCATCACCCCGCCCCATTCTCCCGCTTTCCATCACCCCGCCCCATTCTCCCTCCCTCCATCAGCGCGCCCCATTCTCCCTCCTTCCATCACCCTGCCCCATTCTCCCTCTTTCCATCACCCTGCCCCATTCTCCCGCTTTCTATCACCCCGCCCCATTCTCCCTCTTTCCATTACCCTGCCCCATTCTCCCGCTTTCCATCATCCCGCTCCATTCTCCCCCTTTCCATCACCCCGCCCAATTCTCCCTCTTTCCATCACCCCTCCCCATTCTCCCTCTTTCCATCACCCCGCCCCATTCTCCCGCTTTCCATCACCCCGCCCCATTCTCCCTCTTTCCATCACCCCGCCCCATTCTCCCGCTTTCCATCACCCCGCCCCATTCTCCCTCTTTCCACCACCCCGCCCCTTTCTCCCTGTTTCCATCACCCCGCCCCATTCTCCCGTTTTCCATCACCCCACCCCATTCTCCCTCTTTCCATCACCCCGCCCCATTCTCCCTCTTTCCATCACCCCGCCCCATTCTCACTCTTTCCATCACCCTGCCCCATTCTCTCGCTTTCCATCACCTCGCCCCATTCTCCCTCTTTCCATCACCCCACCCCATTCTCCCTCTTTCCATCACCCCGCCCCATTCTCCCGCTTTCCATTTCCGCGCCCTACTCTCCATCTTTCCATCATCCCGCCCCATTCTCCCGCCTTCCATCACCCAGCCCCATTCTCCCTCTTTGGATCACCCCGCCCCATTGTCCCGCTTTCTATCACCCCGCCCCATTCTCCCGCTTTCCATCATCCCGCCCCATTCTCCCTCTTTCCATCACCCCGCCCCATTCTCCCGCTTTCCATCACCCCGCCCCATTTTCCCTCTTTCCATCACCCCGACCCATTCTCCCGCTTTCCATCACCCTGCCCCATTCTCCCTCTTTCTATCACCCCTCCCCATTCTCCCGCCTTCCATCACCCCGCCCAATTCTCCCTCTTTCTATAACCCCTCCCCATTCTCCCTTTTTCCATCAACCCGCCGCATTCTCCCGCTTTCCATCACCCCCCCCCATTCTCCCTCTTTCCATCACCCCGCCCCATTCTCCCGCTTTCCATGACCCCGCCCCATTCTCCCGCTTTCCATCACCCCGCCCCACTCTCCCGCTTTCCATCACCCCTCCCCATTTTCCCTCTTTCCATCACCCCGCCCCATTCTCCCGCTTTCCATCACCCCGCCCTATTCTCCCTCTTTCTATCACCCCTCCCCATTCTCCCGCCTTCCATCACCCCGCTCAATTATCCCTCTTTCTATCACCCCGCCCCATTCTCCCTCTTTCTATCACCCCTCCCCATTCTCCCGCTTTCCATCACCCCGCCCCATTCTCCCGCTTTCCATCACCCCGCTCTATTCTCCCGCTTTCCATCACCCCGCCCAATTCTCCCTCTTTCCATCACCCCTCCCCATTCTACCTCTTTCCATCACCCCGCCCCCCACTCTCCCTCTTTCCATCACCCCGCCCCATTCTCCCGCTTTCCATCACCCAACCCCAATCTCCCTCTTTCCATCACCCCGCCCCATTCTCCCGCTTTCCATAACCCCGCCCCATTTTCCCTCTTTCCATCACCCCGCCCCATTCTCCTGCGTTCCATCACCCCGCTCCATTCTCCCGCTTTCAATCACCCAGCCCAATTCTCCCTCTTTCCATCAACCCCCCCCATTCGCCCGCTTTCCATCACCCCGCCCCATTCTCCCGCTTTCCATCACCCCGCCCCATTCTCCCTCTTTCCATCACCCCGCCCCATTCACCCTCTTTCCATCACCCCGCCCCACTCTCCCGCTTTCCATCACCCCGCCCCATTCTCCCTCTTTCCATCACCCCGCCCCATTCTCCCGCTTTCTATGACCCCGCCCCATTCTCCCTCTTTCCATCACCCCGCCCCATTCTCCCTCTTTCCATCACCCCGCCCCATTCTCCCTCTTTCCATCACCCCGCCCCATTCTCCCTCTTTCCATCACCCCGCCCCATTCTCCCGCTTTCCATTACCGCGCCCCACTCTCTATCTTTCCATCACCCCGCCCCATTCTCCCGCCTTCCATCACCCAGCCCCATTCTCCCTCTTTACATCACCCCGCCCCATTCTCCCGCTTTCTATCACCCAGCCCCATTCTCCCGCTTTCTATCACCTCGCCCCATTCTCCCTCTTTCCATCACCCCGCCCCATTCTCCCGCTTTCCATCACCCCGCCCGATTTTCTCTCTTTCCATCACCCCGCCCCATTCTCCCCCTTTCCATCACCCCGCCCCATTCTCCCTCTTTCTATCACCCCTCCCCATTCTCCCGCTTTCCATCACCCCGCCCAATTCTCCCTCTTTCTATCACCCCTCCCCATTCTCCCCTTTTCCATCCCCCCGCCCCATTCTCCCGCTTTCCATCACCCCGCCCCATTCTCCCTCTTTCCATCAGCCCGCCCAATTCTCTAGCTTTCCATTACCCCGCCCCATTCTCTCGCTTTCCATCACCCCGCCCCATTCTCCCGCTTTCCATCACCCCGCCCCATTTTCCCTCTTTCCATCACCCCGCCCCATTCTCCCGCTTTCCATCACCCCGCCCCATTCTCCCTCTTTCTATCACCCCTCCCCATTCTCCCGCTTTCCATCACCCCGCCCAATTATCCCTCTTTCTATCACCCCTCCCCATTCTCCCTCTTTCTATCACCCCGCCCCATTCTCCCGCTTTCCATCACCTCGCTCCATTTTCCCTCTTTCCATCACCCCGCCCCATTCTCCCTCTTTCCATCACCCCGCCACATTCTCCCGCTTTCCATCACCCCTCCCCATTCTCCCTCTTTCCGTCACCCCGCCCCATTCTCCCACTTTCCGTCACCCCGCCCCATTCTCCCGCTTTCCATGACCCCGCTCCATTCTCCCTCTTTCCATCACCCCAACCCCATTCTCCCGCTTTCCATCACCCCGCCCCATTCTCCCTCTTTCCATCACCCCGCCCCATTCTCCCGCTTTCCATCACCCCTCCTCATTCTCCCGCTTTCAATCACCCCGCTCTATTCTCCCGCTTTCCATCACCCCGCCCAATTCTCCCTCTTTCCATCACCCCTCCCCATTCTATCTCTTTCCATCACCCCGCCCCCCATTCTCCCTCTTTCCATCACCCCGCCCCATTCTCCCGCTTTCCATCACCCCGCCCCATTCTCCCTCTTTCCATCACCCCGCCCCATTTTCCCTCTTTCCATCACCCCGCCCCATTCTCCCGCTCTCCATCACCCCGCCCCATTCTCCCTCTTTCTATCACCCCGCCCCATTCTCCCGCTTTCCATCACCCCGCCCCATTTTCCCTCTTTCCATCACCCCGCCCCATTCTCCCTCTTTCCATCACCCCGCCACATTTTCCCGCTTTCCATCACCCCTCCCCATTCTCCCTCTTTCCATCACCCTGCCCCATTCTCCCACTTTCCGTCACCCCGCCCCATTCTCCCGCTTTCCATCACCCCGCCCCATTCTCCCTCTTTCCATCAGCCCGCCCAATTCTCCCGCTTTCCATTACCCCGCCCCATTCTCTCGCTTTCCATCACCCCGCCCCATTCTCCCGCTTTCCATCACCCCGCCCCATTTTCCCTCTTTCCATCACCCCGCCCCATTCTCCCGCTTTCCATCACCCCGCCCCATTCTCCCTCTTTCTATCACCCCTCCCCATTCTCCCGCTTTCCATCACCCCGCCCAATTCTCCCTCTTTCTATCACCCCTCCCCATTCTCCCTCTTTCTATCACCCCGCCCCATTCTCCCGCTTTCCATCACTCCGCTCCATTTTCCCTCTTTCCATCACCCCGCCCCATTCTCCCTCTTTCCATCACCCCGCCACATTCTCCCGCTTTCCATCACCCCTCCCAATTCTCCCTCTTTCCGTCACCCCGCCCCATTCTCCCACTTTCCGTCACCCCGCCCCATTCTCCCGCTTTCCATCACCCCGCTCCATTCTCCCTCTTTCCATCACCCCAACCCCATTCTCCCGCTTTCCATCACCCCGCCCCATTCTCCCTCTTTCCATCACCCCGCCCCATTCTCCCGCTTTCCATCACCCCTCCCCATTCTCCCGCTTTCCATCACTCCGCCCAATTCTCCCTCTTTCTATCACCCCTCCCTATTCTCCTCTTTTCCATCCCCCCGCCCTATTCTCCCGCTTTCCATCACCCCGCCCCATTCTCCCTTTTTCCATCACCCTGCCCCATTCTCCTCCTTTCCATTACCCCGCCCCATTCTCCCGCTTTCCATCACCCCGCCCCATTCTCCCGCTTTCCATCACCCCGCCCCATTTTCCCTCTTTCCATCACCCCGCCCCATTCTCCCGCTTTCCATCACCCCGCCCCATTCTCCCTCTTTCTATCACCCCTCCCCATTCTCCCGCTTTCCATCACCCCGCCCAATTCTCCCTCTTTCTATCACCCCTCCCCATTCTCCCTCTTTCTATCACCCCGCCCCATTCTCAAGCTTTCCATCACCCCGCCCCATTTTCCCTCTTTCCATCACCCCGCCCCATTCTCCCTCTTTCCATCACCCCGCCACATTCTCCCGCTTTCCATCCGGTTTAGGGTTTAGGGAGAATGGGGAGGGGTGATGGAAAGCGGGAGAATGTGGCGGGGTGATGGAAAGAGGGAGAATGGGGCGGGGTGATGGAAAGAGGGAAAATGGGGCGGGGTGATGGAAAGCTTGAGAATGGGGCGGGGTGATAGAAAGAGGGAGAATGGGGAGGGGTGATAGAAAGAGGGAGAATTGGGCGGGGTGATGGAAAGCGGGAGAATGGGGAGGGGTGATAGAAAGAGGGAGAATGGGGCGGGGTGATGGAAAGCGGGAGAATGGGGCGGGGTGATGGAAAGAGGGAAAATGGGGCGGGGTGATGGAAAGCGGGAGAATGGGGCGGGGTGATGGAAAGCGGGAGAATGGGGCGGGGTAATGGAAAGGAGGAGAATGGGGCAGGGTGATGGAAAAAGGGAGAATGGGGCGGGGTGATGGAAAGCGGGAGAATAGGGCGGGGGGATGGAAAAGAGGAGAATAGGGAGGGGTGATAGAAAGAGGGAGAATTGGGCGGAGTGATGGAAAGCGGGAGAATGGGGAGGGGTGATGGAAAGCGGGAGAATGGGGCGGGGTGATGGAAAGAGGGAGAATGGGGCGGGGTGATGGAAAGCGGGAGAATGGGGTTGGGGTGATGGAAAGAGGGAGAATGGAGCGGGGTGATGGAAAGCGGGAGAATGGGGCGGGGTGACGGAAAGTGGGAGAATGGGGCGGGGTGACGGAAAGAGGGAGAATTGGGAGGGGTGATGGAAAGCGGGAGAATGTGGCGGGGTGATGGAAAGAGGGAGAATGGGGCGGGGTGATGGAAAGAGGGAAAATGGAGCGGAGTGATGGAAAGCGGGAGAATGGGGCGGGGTGATAGAAAGAGGGAGAATGGGGAGGGGTGATAGAAAGAGGGAGAATTGGGCGGGGTGATGGAAAGCGGGAGAATGGGGAGGGGTGATAGAAAGAGGGAGAATGGGGCGGGGTGATGGAAAGCGGGAGAATGGGGCGGGGTGATGGAAAGAGGGAAAATGGGGCGGGGTGATGGAAAGCGGGAGAATGGGGCAGGGTGATGGAAAGCGAGAGAATGGGGCGGGGTAATGGAAAGCGGGAGAATTGGGCGGGCTGATGGAAAGAGGGAGAATGGGGCGGGGTGATGGAAAGCGGGAGAATGGGGCGGGGTGACGGAAAGTGGGAGAATGGGGCAGGGTGATGGAAAGAGGGAGAATGGGGAGGGGTGATGGAAAGCGGGAAAATGTGGCGGGGTGATGGAAAGAGGGAGAATGGGGCGGGGTGATGGAAAGAGGGAAAATGGGGCGGGGTGATGGAAAGCGGGAGAATGGGGCGGGGTGATAGAAAGAGGGAGAATGGGGCGGGGTGATGGAGAGCGGGAGAATGGGGCGGGGTGATGGAAAGAGGGAAAATGGGGCGGGGTGATGGAAAGAGGGAGAATGGGGCGGGGTGATGGAAAGCGGGAGAATGGGGCGGGGTGATGGAAAGAGGGAGAATGGGGGGCGGGGTGATGGAAAGAGATAGAATGGGGAGGGGTGATGGAAAGAGGGAGAATTGGGCGGGGTGATGGAAAGCGGGAGAATAGAGCGGGGTGATTGAAAGCGGGAGAATGAGGAGGGGTGATGGAAAGCGGGAGAATGGGGCGGGGTGATGGAAAGAGGGAGAATGGGGCGGGGTGATGGAAAGCGGGAGAATGGGGTTGGGGTGATGGAAAGAGGGAGAATGGAGCGGGGTCATGGAAAGCGGGAGAATGGGGCGGGGTGACGGAAAGTGGGAGAATGGGGCGGGGTGACGGAAAGAGGGAGAATGGGGAGGGGTGATGGAAAGCGGGAGAATGTGGCGGGGTGATGGAAAGAGGGAGAATGGGGCGGGGTGATGGAAAGAGGGAAAATGGAGCGAGGTGATGGAAAGCGGGAGAATGGGGCGGGGTGATAGAAAGAGGGAGAATGGGGAGGGGTGATAGAAAGAGGGATAATTGGGCGGGGTGATGGAAAGCGGGAGAATGGGGAGGGGTGATAGAAAGAGGGAGAATGGGGCGGGGTGATGGAAAGCGGGAGAATGGGGCGGGGTGATGGAAAGAGGGAAAATGGGGCGGGGTGATGGAAAGCGGGAGAATGGGGCGGGGTGATGGAAAGCGAGAGAATGGGGCGGGGTAATGGAAAGCTAGAGAATTGGGCGGGCTGATGGAAAGAGGGAGAATGGGGCGGGGTGATGGAAAGCGGGAGAATGGGGCGGGGGGATGGAAAAGGGGAGAATGGGGAGGGGTGATAGAAAGAGGGAGAATTGGGCGGGGTGATGGAAAGCGGGAGAATGGGGAGGGGTGATAGAAAGAGGGAGAATGGGGCGGGGTGATGGAAAGGGGGAGAATGGGGCGGGGTGATGGAAAGAGAGAAAATCGGGCGGGGTGATGGAAAGCGGGAGAATGGGGCGGGGTGATGGAAAGAGGGAGAATGGGGCGAGGTGATAGAAAGCGGGAGAATGGGGCTGGGTGATAGAAAGCGGGAGAATGGGGCGGGGTGATGTAAAGAGGGAGAATGGGGCTGGGTGATGGAAGGCGGGAGAATGGGGCGGGGTGATGGAAAGATAGAGAGTGGGGCGCGGTAATGGAAAGCGGGAGAATGGGGCGGGGTGATGGAAAGAGGGAGAATGGGGCGGGGTGATGGAAAGAGGGAGAATGGGGCGGGGTGATGGAAAGAGGGAGAATGGGGCGGGGTGATGGAAAGAGGGAGAATGGGGCGGGGTCATAGAAAGCGGGAGAATGGGGCGGGGTGATGGAAAGAGGGAGAATGGGGCGGGGTGATGGAAAGCGGGAGAGTGGGGCGGGGTGATGGAAAGAGGGTGAATGGGGCGGGGTGATGGAAAGAGGGAGAATGGGGCGGGGTGATGGAAAGCGGGAGAATGGGGCGGGGTGATGGAAAGCGGGCGAATGGGGGGGGTTGATGGAAAGAGGGAGAATTGGGCTGGGTGATTGAAAGCGGGAGAATGGAGCGGGGTGATGGAACGCAGGAGAATGGGGCGGGGTGATGGAAAGAGGGAAAATGGGGCGGGGTTATGGAAAGCGGGAGAATGGGGCGGGGTGATGGAAAGAGGGAGATTGGGGTTGGGTGATGGAAAGCGGGAGAATGGGGCGGGGTGATGGAAAGAGGGAGAGTGGGGGGCGGGGTGATGGAAAGAGGTAGAATGGGGAGGGGTGATGGAAAGAGGGAGAATTGGGCGGGGTGATGGAAAGCGGGAGAATAGAGCGGGGTGATGGAAAGCGGGAGAATGGGGCGGGGTGATGGAAAGCGGGAGAATGGGGAGGGGTGATAGAAAGAGGGAGAATGGGGCGGGGTGATAGAAAGAGGGATAATTGAGCGGGGTGATGGAAGGCGGGAGAATGGGGAGGGGTGATAGAAAGAGGGAGAATAGGGCGGGGTGATGGAAAGCGGGAGAATGGGGCGGGGTGATGGAAAGAGGGAAAATGGGGAGGGGTGATGGAAAGCGGGAGAGTGGGGCGGGGTGATGGAAAGCGGGAGAATGGGGCGGGGTCATGGAAAGCGGGAGAATGGGGCGGGGTGATGGAAAGAGGGAGAATGGGGGGGGGTGATGGAAAGCGGGAGAATGCGGCGGGTTGATGGAAAAAGGGAGAATGGGGAGGGGTTATAGAAAGAGGGAGAATTGGGCGGGGTGATGGAAGGCGGGAGAATGGGGAGGGGTGATAGAAAGAGGGAGAATGGGGCAGGGTGATGGAAAGCGGGAGAATGGGTCGGGGTGATGGAAAGAGGGAAAATGGGGCGGGGTGATGGAAAGCGGGAGAATGGGGCGGGGTGATGGAAAGAGGGAGAATGGGGCGGGATGATGGAAAGCGGGAGAATGGGGCGGGGTGATAGAAAGCGGGACAATGGGGCGGGGTGATCCAAAGAGGGAGAATGGGGCTGGGTGATGGAAGGCGGGAGAATGGGGCGGGATGATGGAAAGATGGAGAGTAGGGCGCGGAAATGGAAAGCGGGAGAATGGGGCGGGGTGATGGAAAGAGGGAGAATGGGGTGGGGTGATGGAAAGAGGGAGAATGGGGCGAGGTGATGGAAAGCGAGAGAATGGGGCAGGGTGATGGAAAGAGTGAGAATGGGGCGGGGTGATGGAAAGAGGGAGAATGGGGCGGGGTGATGGAAAGAGGGAGAATGGGGTGGGGTGATGGAAAACGGGAGAATGGGGCGGGGTGATGGAAACAGGGAGAAAGGGGCGGGGTGGTGGAAAGAGGGAGAATGGGGCGGGGTGATGGAAAGCGGGAGAATGGGGCGGGGTGATGGAAAGAGGGAGAATGGGGCGGGGTGATGGAAAGCGGGAGAATGGGGCGGGGTGATGGAAAGAGGGAGAATGGGGAGGGGTGATGGAAAGAGGGAGAATTGGGCGGGGTGATGGAAAGGGGGAGAATGGAGCGGGATGATGGAAAGCGGGAGAATGGGGCAGGGTAATGGAAAGAGGGAGAATGGGGCGGGGTGATAGAAAGCGGGAGAATGGGGCAGGGTGATGGAAAGAGGGAGAATGGGGCAGGGTGATGGAAGGAGGGAGAATGGGGCGCGCTGATGGAGGGAGGGAGAATGGGGCGGGGTGATGGAAAGCGGGAGAATGGGGCGGGGTGATGGAAAGCGGTAGAATGGGGCAGGGTGATGGAAGGAGGGAGAATGGGGCGGGGTGATGGAAAGCGGGAGAATGGGGCGTGGTGATGGAAAGCGGGAGAATGGGGCGGGGTGATGGAAAGCAGGAGAATGGGGCGAGGTGATGGAAAGCGGGAGAATGGGGCGGGGTGATGGAAGGAGGTAGAATGAGGCGGAGTGATGGAAGGAGAAGAATGGGGCGGGGTGATGGAAAGCAGGAGAATGGGGCGGGGTGATGGAAAGCGGGAGAATGGGGCGGAGTGATGGAAAGCGGGAGAATGGGGCGGGGTGATGGAAAGCGGGAGAATGGGGCGTGGTGATGGAAAGCGGGAGAATGGGGCGGGGTGATGGGAGAATGGGGCGGGGTGATGGAAAGCGGGAGAATGGGGCGGGGTGATGGAAAGCGGGAGAATGGGGCGGTGTGATGGAAAGCGGGTGAATGGGGTGGG